AGCTCTCCATAACCAAGAGGATCTTCCCTAAGTCCAATTAAAGTTGCTCATATTTTTCTTCGCTTCCTGTTGCTTGGCCCTCTGTGGGACAGAGAGAGCTCAGCTGCTTTTTCAAAAACATCCCTCAAACTTTTCAGGAAAATATTTGAGCTTTAGCTCAATAGCAACTGGTTGTACTTTAGGGTTAAACATCTGTACTACATGGAAGTGAGACGTGAAAGAGACCTAATCTCTCCATGAGGATTGCTCACAGAGCAAGAGTGGCAGAAGCCCCTACTACCTTATGAGGTATGGTAGGCTTTCTCTTCAGACACCTCATATTGAAAGTTGACTGTGTGCCAATTACTGTGCTGGTTCCATACGCTTTTAAATGATACAGTAGGTAACTGTGGGGTAGTTACTGTCATTCTACTTTTCCCTCTCTACATTTTTTAAAAAAATGTATTTAGTACAGGGTCTACAGTGTCTTACTACACAGATTGGACTTGTAGTTATCCCGTTTTCAGCCTCCCAAGTGCTGGGATTACAGGAGCACCACCACACCTAGTCTCAGTCACTGTCTCACTGGGCCCTAGGGGCAGGGCTGGCACAGCATTGGGAAATGGAAGCCAGAGATCTCATAGCTAGTAAGGTGGCAAGGCTAGGAATTGGGCCCCAGTCTGCTTCTGAACAAAACTGCACTGCCTCTCTAGTTTCAGACCTGAATGATTAACCTCAGGAACTTTTCAGGTGCTAAAGAATGCGAGTATGGAAAAATCTATTGAAAGAGGATGTGCAATGTTCTTTTCTGGATACTCCATGCCATTTCAGGGCATGGACCCTTGGCACACACAAAAAGGATGACTCTCCTGCTTTTGCTTTGGTGGGTGGTGTTTGAATGCTGTTTGAGATGTAGAAGCAGGTACACTGTTTTATAAGCCATGGATAAGAAGTATCTTTACCTGAATATGCTAATTAAAATTTCCATTAGGAAAAGCTGAAAAGCTGCGCGTGTTCAATGCCGTAAGGAGAAGGGCTTTATACTCGGGGCTGAAGGATGGCATGTGTGTTGCCTTCCATCCAAGAAGCCTCTCAGGGAACTGGGGTAGTTCCTCCCTGGGAACTAATACAACACCCTAACTCTCATAGCTCAGCCATGCCTTGGTCTAGAGAGATAGATGTGTTGTTGTTTGTTGAGGAGAATCCGTACTCTTGATCTGAGAACAAATCTTACATTCAAATTATGAAAACAAACACTTACAAGTAAAGGTCAAAGTAGACAGGCCAGCAAGTGCTGAAGGCTTAGGATATATATCTGAAGTTTTTTAAAAAAGATAATGCAGACATCCTGAATTGTGTTTGCTATAAATAATTTATGGGCTGGGGACAGTTATGAAACAAACTACTGCTGCTGCTGTGATAAGATCCTGAAACAAAAGAAACAGGATTTGTTTGAATGCTAGTGGCAATTTTTTAAAAAGCACAAATTGTCAGAATGTAAATATGATAGTTCAGTTGCCGGTATTGCTTTCCATGTGTCTTTTTAGAATTTCTTATATTTTTAAGACACGAAATAATACATAAAATGAAAATGCACGTAATTGGAAAGGTAAAACAACCACTTTCTCTCCTCCCTTACCCCAATCCTTGTCTCTTTCCTTAAGAGTAACCAGAGTTGACAATTTATATTTCTAGAAAGACGTCTGAATATATAATAGAAAATATGTATTAGTTTGGAGTTAAGTAGATCCTCAGTTTTCTTCCTTTCAAACAATTGAAGATGATCTCAACATCATTTATTGGAAAATGCCAGTGTTTTCCCCACGGGTCTGAAAGCCAATCCACATCATATATGAAATTCTCAGATGTATGTGGACCTCCTTTGACGTTCTTTTTCACTGAGTTGCCAATTACTTCCCTACTTGTTTAAAAATGGTGGAAAGTTCACTTTATTTTGTCATACTGTTTGGCCTGGTGGTCTCTCATTTCTCATTCTCAGACTACTTATGTCTCCCGTATTTGTCTTGGTCAAGTTCCCCTAACTAAGCCTTCTAGGTGGGATTTCATTTAGCTTATACTTTGGAAAGATAACAGAATTCAGTTTTCCTCTCAGTGGCATTGTAGTTTTCTTCATACAGGTGCTTTATATTTATTTCACTTGTGCTTGCATATTTTATCATTTTCACTGCTGTGAAAAGAAACATTTTCTTACATGTACTTTTAAGTGGTTTTCCATAGGGAAGCTTTTAGTAACTAAATTATCTTGTTTTAAAATTGTTTCCTAGTTGATTTAGAGTATAGATTTAAAGTCAATCATATCATCTGGAACAGATGATGCATTCTGCCTCTTTTTCTCAAATGTTTTTATAGTGATAAATAGTGATTCCAGGAAAAAAACTGAGTAACAGTGCTGCAAATGGGTGTCCTTTTTCTGTCATTTTAATGAGAATATTTGTGATTTTTTTTAAATTAAAAATGCTTTTAATTCGAAATGTTTATATTTTTTATAGTCAATAAAATATCTATGGGGCTGGTGAGATGGCTCAGTGGTCTAAAGCACCTACTTAGAACAAGCTTAGCAAAGCACAGGGACCGCGGTTCAATCCCCCAGCACCACATGCCAGCCAGCCCCGCCCCCTGGTGGGCTGAGCTGGCCACACACACACACACACACACACACACACAAATAAATAAAATTAAAAAAAAAAATCTATGTATCCCTATTTTCCTGGTCTCCTTCCACCTTTTTTTGGCAACCAGAAGCAAATACTGAATTCTGTCACAAGTTCTAAAACCTATTTGATATCTCACTGTTTTTCTTTTTAGTTACAGTATGGTGAATTCTTTTAATAGGGTCCTAACACTGAATCATCTTTTTTTTTTTTTTTTTTTCGGAACCAGGGATTGAACTCAGGGCCTTGTGCTTGCCAGGGAAGTGCTTATTCCACTGAGCCATCTCCCCGGTCCCACACTGAATCATCTTCATATTTTTTCCTCATGGAAATATTGTCAGATGTGGAAGTGCATACCAGTAATCTGGGGGCTGAAGCAGGAAACTGCTGTTTGAGCCCAGCCTGGGCAGTTTATCAACTTACTGAGACTTGCCTCAAATAAGAAACAAAAAATGGGACCGGGGATATAGTTCAGTGTGAAGGCCCTGGGTTTAATCCCCAGTACCAACAACAAACAAAACCCAAAAATCAAATCTGATGAGTATCTTGTTAGCATATCAATTTTCTCCCCATGCTGGGAATCCAACCTTGGGCCTTAAGCATACTAAACAAGTACCATGCTATTGAGTTCATATATTAGTATTTTTTCTTTTTTCTGAACTCAATCGGGTTGGACATCAGTGTTACACATCTTTGTAAAAATAGTTCAGAAGTGTGTTATGTCATGTGTTTAGATGCCCCTGTTACGGTTTATATCTAGGTGCCCCCCCAAAGCCTCATTTCGCCACTGGGGTGGGTTTCTGGACTTTGTGATTAATTCATGATCCGATGCTGGGATTACGGGTGAGAGTGCTACACCCAGCTTGAGGCAGATAGCTTGAGTGCAATTTAAGTAAAGGAGAGAGGGCTGACCTCTGCCTGTGCTCCTCCCTTTTGGCTCTTGCTGTTTTACACTGCCATGACCTGCTGCCCTCTGCCATGTACCAGTATGCCTTAGAGCCAGCCAAGTATGGTCTGAAGCCCCCACTAACTGTGAGCTAAATAAACCTTTCCTTCCTTAATCCCAGGTGCTGGGTATTTGTCCCAGAAACAAGAGTAAAGTAACAGACACCCACCCTCCAAAGCCTTTTTCATAGATGGCTGGATCTAGCATGTGTGATTGCTTCTCGATGGAATGCTGGGATTAAGGGTGTCAGGATTAGGGTGTGTGATTACTAAATCAGTCCACTGGTTGCTTTGGTACTGCACTAACCCTGAAAGCAAAATGAGGGACAGAGAAAGGCTTGTATTGTCCCTTGTTTGCTTCCTTTTGCTGTCACCAAAGCAAAAGTAGATGGTGAAAGAAAGTATGGAAGTTTTCTGAAGCTGGCATTCCCAGGGATCTACCCAAGGCTGCACCACCCTGTACCCACCCAGCCAAGGCATATACTCTGAGCTCACCATCCCCAGGATCTTCAACATCCCAGTGGGTGAGAAGAAAATTTGAGGTGATCTCTGAACTTGAATGGGACCTAGGCCCGGCCCACAGAGTGTTTTTCATTTTTATTTTTGAGATAGCGTCTCACTATGTAGTCCAGACTGGTCTTGAACTCATTTACGTAGCCCAGGCTAGCCTCTAACTCATGGTGACCCTCTTGCCTCAGCCACCCGAGTGCTGGGATCACAGGCATGTGCCACCACTCTTGGTAGTGCTGCACAGTTTTTGATGATTGTTTTCATCTGTTTCCTGGACAACTGGGGTACATACCATGCCTGTTGTGGATGTCCCTTGGGTGTCCTTGACAATGCAGAGCACTATGTTGGGGATACACTGAATGTACAGAAGGCAGGGAGCCCTGAATGCACCACAGGACCAGAGCCCACGTGGTGTGCAGGACCCTAAACCTGCAGGGGTTCCTCTGGTGGTCTGGGATCCCTGAAGGTGCCCTTGGCTACTCCTGTTTGGCACTTTTAGGATTCATGGTAGACTGCTAGGCTTAGCCGTGTCTGGCTAGCACTGCTATGCCAGCCCCTACTGTGGCAGCAACAGTGCTCTCCAGGTGGCATCAGGCCCCCCTGTCCCCCAACTGCTGGCCGCTGAGCTCTGCTGTCTGCTCTGTGGGCCAGCTGAGCCCTATGCCACCTTTGGTGCCACGTGGGGCACGGGGAGATTTGGCCTCTACCTCGCTTGGGAACTCAGAATACCTCCCAACCCACTCTTGGTGGCCGCCATCCGTCCATCCAGCCAACCAGGGCATAGGGGTTCTGGAGACCACGTAGGAAAGCACACATCCCACAGTAAGGGCATTCAGTCATTTCTTCTTCCACCTCCTACATTGAGAATAAAATGAGAATTGTGGAAAACATACAAAAGAATAAAGAAATACATTTAATACTTAGTTCTAAATAACAAGAAATATAAAATTACAAAACTTCCTTTTTGTCTTGAACGGTTTTTCTCTGGTAAGGACCGCTCGGATTAAACAGAAGCTTCCGGTAAATTAGGACGCCATCAGCAATACAGCACAGTGCTGCCACAAATCCAATCACCTGGGGAAAAGCACACTGTCATTGGCATCATATTTTTTGAAGTGATCTGTCCACGGGATCCCTCTCCTGCTAGGTACTAAGATTGCTCCCTGCACTGCCACTCAATACTAAAATGGGAAGAGACTTTAGAGATCATCCTATCCTCTTCAGGGCCAGGATTCCCAACACCTGCTGACAGGAAAAAGAAATAACACAGAAGTAGCACAGGCTCTGTCTTTAATTTTTCATTTGCTTCTGTACATATTCTTTTAAGTCCCACAGACTATATTTAGTTATTTCTATCTGCAATGATCAACTGTTGAATTTCCTAATGCAAAACTTTATAGGGAAAAGGGTCAAAGCTAATACTAGCTCAAGGTTAAAATCTTTGGGGAGCCAAAAGATAACTCAAAGTAGGCCAGACTGGTGGCACACTGATGTTTAGTCCTAGCACTTGGGAGTCTGAGGCAGGAGGATTGCCTAAGTTTGAGGCCAGCGTGTACTACATAGTGAGACCCTGGCTCTGTCTCAAAAAAAAAAAAAAAAAAAAAAAAAAAAGATGGTCCAAAGTGAACTCTCCAGGGCGGCTACACTGAATGCATGGAATCCTAAATAGGCCTTAGAAAGAAAACTGAGGTAAAGGGAACAAAGTAGAACACAGGGGAACTGAGCTGGCGTGATGGCTATTGCAGCTTGTGCCTGGGCTGGGGAAGGGAGAAGCCAGCCCTTCCTAGCCATGTGCACAGCCTCATCCAGTCTGGCTGCCTTGTCTCCTGGTTTCAAGCCACTGCCTCCCCAAGTCAGAGCACTGCCTGCCTTCTACTGATCCTTTTATGACTGGCATTTCTGCTCACTGACAGTTTCTCCCCTGAAATCTTTCTCCTATAAAATACACTGGACATAGAGGTCCACATCTATAATCCCAGAACTCTGAACGGCTGAGGCAGGCAAGTTCCAGCTATGTGTCTGGCTAACTCCACCTTTTAATGAGATCCTGTCTCAAAAAAGAAGGGCTGGGGCTGGAGCTGAGCATGAAGGCTCTGGGTTTAATCCTCAGTATTGCAAAACAAAACAACAAATGAAACTGAATTTAATAATACATTTTATGTAGTACAATGTATCCAAACTATTATTTAACATGTAATTGATAAAGTTATTAATGAAATAGTCTATACTTTGGGAGGGGTAGTAAATCTTTGGAGTTTAATGGATATTTTATACTTACAACTTACCTCAATTTAGACTGGCCACACTGCCAGTGCTCAATCCTCATGTGGCTAGGGGCTATTGCATTGGAAAGCACGGCTCTAGGTTGTCAGTATTTAAGGAGTAAGTATGAATTAAAGGGGAAATAAGTGGGCCAGGTACCAAGATGGTGAAGTGGTAAGCAGTAGACAAAAGTCCCTCTCAAGTTGTCATCCAGACGCTAGAATACAGCAAAGTGAGGAAGACAAGAAGGGGGAAGGTGGGGCCCCTGGGCCCAGGAAAGATCTGAGGGGTGCACTGAAAGCCACAGAGAGAGCAAAGAAAGAAACTTCACTGAGGAGGAAGGAGGTAGCTGGTGGTACTTTCTCCCTGAGATGGAATTCACTGCAAAAGAAGCTGCTCAATCCTGAGGATGCAGGGTAACTGCTGGTGACGCGGGAGGCCTCCACTGAGAGACACAGCAGTGGAGGGGAGCACGGATATGAAGGACTACACTATCTGGGGTAAGTGTTGGGGGCTCAGTCATCCCACACAAGAGTGTGACTGGCCATCTCAGAGAGGGGCCAGCTGAGCTCAGAACTCAGTGACTGCTAGCTTCATCTAGCAGCTCCCAGTTGGACTCAGCCCCAGGGAAGCTATGCTGCTGGCTACAGGATGACTGAGTTTGGTTTCAGCCGGAAGGGGCAGGCTCGCTGAGATTATTCACTACCTCACCAAAAAGCTACTGTTGGCTTGCTGGGACAAATTAACATAGATCAGGACTCTGTCTTCCACATGTTGTCTACCAGTGACAGCAGAGACAAAACTGGAAGTAGGACAAAACTTTTTTCCTCTCCAGGGACTGAACTCAGGTCCTTGCACTTGTCAGGCAGGCACTTAGACCACCGAGCTATCTGCCCACCTTATCTGTTCTTTTTTATCTCTTCCTTTTCTTTTTTCCTCCAATCTTCTGCACCAATTTCCCAAAGTTAATGTGATTCTCCTTTGTCCTCCAGGCTTACTTTTAATTCTTCTTCTTCTATCTATTTTTTCCCAACCCCTTTTAAATTTTAACTTCTGAGAGTAAAATTGACATATTAAGGACTTATATACTGAATATAATTTTTTGATCTGTTTTAGATTTTGTTATATAAACAGAAATCTAGTTCATAGTTAAAGGTGGAAAATTACCAATTACCTGTTTGTCATTTTCAGACTGTGGTTGATGCTTCTCTTATTGCTGATGATACCACTTCTGCCAAAGGCGACATAATTGTTCTAAATAGCTATTCTTCCTGGTATCACAAGACTGAAACTGACTTAAGAGTCACAGAAAATACTGAAGCACAGTGGCAAAGACCAGCGCCTGGCCCAAACAGGTAGCAACTTCTTAGCCCCAACAAATTGAAGAGGTAGGATCATGCAATAGACTCAAAACTTAAAAACCAGTTATACCTGTGTCTTGGTTTGGGGGTTTTGCAACGGGAACAATATAATACAGGACACATTTTATAACATTATTTTATAAGGAATCACCCAAGAATCATACACTAGAAGTGCAGGAAATTGGTCCACATACTAACACTAAAGAATCCAGCAGAGGGCCTAGAGCTCATAACGATGCCTTTCACAAGTCCAACTGGAGGCCTATATCCCACAACAAAGTCTCATGCAGGCCTACTTCATAGATCTCTGTTGGAAAGGCCCAAATGCTCAAGGTAAGCACCAGAGCTCCCCCGAAAGTACCACAGCCATCCTCAGCAACAGTGAGGTCCTGAGCTCCTGAAGTGATGAGGAAAGCTGAGTTCTCATCAGGAAAGCCAATGCAACAAGTTTCTCCATGAGACTGAGCAGTGCACCATCTTCCCATCCAGAGCCAGGAAGAGATGCTCAAGATGAGAACCAAAGCTCCTCCAAAGTTCACTGGGAAAGCCACCATGACAAGGTCTTCTAGCAGAACAGCCCAAGAGAACCAGCAGCTTCCAACAGCTTCTCCAAACAGAATCCCTAACAGTATTCTGGCAGCTTCTCCTGTTTTGCCTTTCATGCTGCTGGTAACAATCCTCAGGTGGGCCTCCCACATCCAGTACCACACTAGTTTAATTCAGCTGGGTGTAGTAAGTTGGCCACCAGTTAGAAATCCACTACAACCTGCAAGATACCTTGGAGAAGTAGTAATTTCCTAAGGATTCTAAATACTAGCAATAAAGCAACCCACCATAGGCAATTTATAAGTATCACCCCAGGAATTAAACTAAAAAAAAGGAAAGAAAATAAGAAGACACTTAAATAAGATGCAACCCCAGAGTTCCAGGTCACCAAAGGCAAAACCAGGGAGCAATGAGGTGGAACAATCTGAAAGCAACCCCCTGGCCTCTCTGAAGTGGTAACAACAGAGCAATTGAATAAGGCTCTAGAAAAAAATCAAAATAGAAAATAATTTCTCAGATAACTACAGAGATGGCATCTACAATGAAAACCATGCTTCAGTGACTCTAGAGCAGGTAACACACACACACACATACACACACACCAAAAAAAAAAAAAAAAAAAAAACAGAGGAACTTAAGAAAATCATGAAATCTGTGAATGCTCAACATAGTAAAGAAATGGAATCCCTAAGGCAGATTCAAACAGATATCCAGGAGAATAAAAATTCCATTGAAAGTATTTGCAGCAGATTACGCCAATATGAGGACTGGATTTCAGATATAGAAGACAGACTTGTAGCTACTGATCATGAAAAGAAAGATTTCTTAAAAATAGCAAGGGACCATGAAAAATCAATCCAGCAGCTGATAGATGAGGCAAAGAATAACTTAAGATTGACTGGAGTTGATGAAAAAGCAGGCGATAGCACAAGTGATATAAAAATATGATTCACAGGTGTCATGGCAGAAAACCTCCTTGGTAGGGAAAAAGAATTCAACACACAGGGAAGTGAGGCATACAGAACTCCAATTAGCCACAATAAAAAATCTAGAACCAGGCATATCATAATCCAGATTCCAAAAATTCAACACAAGAATACAGTCTTGAAAGCTGTTAGGGAAAAAAGAGTCACCTATAAAGGAAAGCCCTTCAGAATCACAGCTGACTTCCCAGCATAAACCCTCAAGTCAAGGAAATCTTGGATAAAATATTTAAAGTTCTAAAGGAAAAAACCTTCAACCCTACAAAACTATCTTTCAAAATTGACGGAAAAATAAAGGTACTTTCATGACAAAGAACATCTGAGGAAATTTATCACCATCAAATCAGCAAATTAAGATGTTTTGAAGAGCATTCTAGAAAAAGAAAACAAGGACTAAAACTCCATGAACTCCAACCAAAGGAATCCACCAGGCAAGGCAAAGAAACAGAAGGAGGGGGAAAAGGTGATGGTAGTAGAGTCAACAACAACAAAAACATGACAAGGATAAGTCAAAACATTATTATAATAATCAGTGTTAATGGTCTCAATTCACCAATAAAAAAATTGGCAGAATGGATCAAGAAGCAATATCAAGAAATACATTTCAAATATGCTGTGTTCAAGAAATACATTTAACTCAAAAAGAAATTCATAGACTGAAAGTCAAAGACTAAAAAAGTACTACATGTGTAAGGGACCCCCCCAAAAAAGCAGGGGTAGCTATTACATTTGCAGACAAAGCGGATTTCAAGTCAAGACTGATTAAGAAAGGCAAAGAAGGTCTCACTACATCCTTGTAAAGGGACCAATCCAAGAGGAAGAGATAACAATCAGAAATCTATATACAACAAATGAGAGTGCACCCAACTATATAAAATAAATATTAATGGGTATGAAAAATCAGATAAGCACTAATACAATTGTTTTGGGAGATCTTACTACCCCACTGTCACAAAAATATCAACTAGACAAAATATCAACAAGGAAAAACACAACTGAACCAAAATTTTATTTTATTTATTTATTTTGGCAGAAGCAGGGAATGAACTCAGGCCCTTGTGCTTATCAGGGAAGTGTTTATTCTACTGAGCCATCTCCCTGTCCCCTATGAACCAAAATTTTAAACAAATGGACTTGTGTTCCACTCTACAACATCAGAATACACATTATTCTCAGCTGCACACAGAATGTTCTCTAAAATAGGCCACATACTAGCTCACAGAACATGCTTAAGTAAATGCAAAGGAATTAAAATTATTCCATGCATATTATCAGACCATAGTACAATGAAATTGGAAATCAATGGTAAAGAAACCACAAGAACTTTATAAACACATGGAAATTAAATAGCACCCTCCTGAGCAACAAATGGGCCACAGATGAAATGAGAGAAGAAATTATGCTGTGTTCAAGAAATACATTTAGATCTTTCTACAATTAAATAATAATGACAAGGCTGGGGCTGGAGCTCAGTGGTAGAGTTTTTGTCTGGCATGAGCAAGGTCCTCAGTTCAATGCCCAGCACCAACAGAACAAAACAAAAACAACAACAACAAACAAAGTAACAAATGATAATGACAATACAACATACCAGAACTTATACACAATGAAAGCAGGCCTAAGAGAAATTTATAGCAGTGAATACCCATGTCAGGAAAACAGAGCAAGTGCAAATAAACAACTTAATGGGGAACTTCAAACTTCTGGAAAAAGAAGAGCAAGCTGGGGCTGGTGAGATGGCTCAGTGGTCTAAAGCACCTACTTAGAACAAGCTAAGCTAAGCAAAGCACATAGACCGCG